TAACCTCTTTATTGTTTTGACACACCGAACCAGCAAGAGGTGACCTTGATTTATCGACCTGACCTTTGTTTGATTGCAGGACCAGCAGGAGGTGACCCATTGAATGATTGACCTCACTTTGAATGATCGACATGACCTTTGTATGATTACAGGACCAGCAGGAGGCGACCTTGAATGATCAATGTGACCTTGATTGTTTCCACATACGGAGCCAGCAAGAAGTGACCTTGATTGATTAATGTGACCTTGATTGATCGACGTCACCTTTGATTGATTGCAGGACCAGCAGGAGGTGACCTTGACCGATTAACGTGACCTTAATTGATTATTAACGTGACGTTGATTGTTTTCTCGCGTGCGCGCAGGACTAGCAGGAGGTGACCTTTATTGATTAACATGACCTTGAAGGATCGACAGAACCCTTGTCTAATTGCAGGACCAGCAGGAGGTGACCTTGATCGATTAACATGACCTTGAAGGATTGACATGACCTTTGTTTGATTGCAGGACCAGCAGGAAGTGACCTTGATCGATTAACATGACCTTGAAGGTTCGACATGACCTTTGTTTGATTGCAGGACCAGCAGGAGGTGACCTTGATCGATTAACATGACCTTGAAGGATCGACATGACCTTTGTTTGATTGCAGGACCAGCAGGAGGTGTGCTCGTTCGAGTCGACGTTCGGTCTCATCACGCTCGACAGCTCGGCGGAGAAGGAGACCAGCGGCGACCTGTATTTCTCGACGCGGCACCCGTTCACGACGCTCGAGCGCTACAAGAGCGCCTACAAGAAGAAGGCTCACCTCGTGATGAGGATGCTAGACCTGCGCGTCGGCCGCGAGCTGCTGCTACAGGTGTGTGGCGATAGGTGTTAATGACAGGTGTATTTTTTACCTGCGCGTCGGCTGCGAGCTGCTGCTATAGGTGTGTGGTGATAGGTGGCGATAGGTGTTAATGACAGGTGTATTTTTTACCTGCGCGTCGGTCGCGAGCTGCTGCTACAGGTGCGTGGCGGCAGGTGTTAATGGCGGGGTGTTTTTTTACCTGCACGTATGCCGTGAGCTACAGGTGTGTCAGACGGGTGTTAACGATGCAGTGTTTTTTTACCTGCACGTGTGCCACGAGCTACAGGTATGTCAGCCAGGTGTTAACGGCATGCGTTGCATGTACTAATGAGAACTCCTAATGTCTGTTGCAGGTGTTCAACAAGTTGCTGTCGTTGGCGACGATCGCCGCGCAGCAGAAGTTCCAGAACCAGGCATGGCACAACCTGCTGCTCTCCACCAGCAGCGTGAGTGTTCCTCTAGTCACGCAGCGTCTGACAGCTGCAGCCGTCGTGCCTTTGACATGAGTAGTGAAACCTCTTCGTGTTGTTTTGGGTCATAGTATAATCCCGTAGATGATTCACTTTACATACATTAGCTTCTTAATGCATTAAAAATTTTATTATTATTAGTAGTAGTAGTAGTAGTAGTAATGGTAGTGGTAGTAGCGGTAGCGGTAGTGGTAGTGGTATTGGTAGTAGTAGTAGCGGTAGTGGTAGTAGTGGTGGTATTGGTAGTAGGTAGAATTAGTAGTGTATATTTCTTATTTCTTATCTATTATTAGTATAAAATCATTTTTAGACTTACTGCCACGTCAACCTGAGCGATCTCAGTTTCGCAGACGCATACACCTTTTGGAAGGACGTCAATTACTTGCGATTTGCTCTCATTCAGCGACGCGGCTCTTTCAGTTTCTCAAGTCGATCACGACGGTGACGGGTAAGGACATCCAGCCGTTCCTCGACCAGTGGGTGACACAGGGCGGCTTCACAAAGTTTCACGGGTCGTTCGTGTTCAACCGCAAGCGCAACACCGTCGAGCTGGAGCTACGGCAGGAGCCGACGGCCAAGGGAGCTCGCAAGTATATGGTGAGTGAACAGGAGAGAGAGGGGGGAGGGAGAGAAGAGAGTGGGCGCGAGAGAAAGTGAGAGAGTGAGAGAGCGAGAGAGAGAGAGATCAGCTGAGCTTCCCTGCTTCGTATAACAGGCTAGTGAAATCTATACTGGGGAATGGCAGTAGATGCGCAGCCCTTCTCTTCATGCATGCCATAGTATCTAACACCTGGTGGTGATATGCGATCAACACTGAATTGCCGTGCTGTGTTTCCATCTACTAGGGTCCGTTGACGGTGACGGTGCAGGAACTGGACGGTACGTTCCACCACAAGATGCAAATCGAGGAAAACTTGACCAAGCATGACATCATCTGCCACTCGAAGAGCAGGAGGCACAAGAAGAAGAAGATTCCGCTGTGCACGGGCGAGGAGGTGGACATGGATCTCAATTTTATGGAGTAAGTGGTTCGATTTATTATGTAGTTCGATTTTGTAAAGAATTCGTTAACATAGTATTTACAAACGAATTTTAATTATACGTAGAGAATTGTTTTGGTTCTATTATGAATGAAACGTGTCCTTGATGATCTTTCATGCAGGTTCTCCTGTCTAACTGTGTTCGTAGCTTGTTTGGTAGATTTTAATTGTAATCGTTTTAAGAATAATAAACACTAGGATTATTCTTAACAAACACTAGCAACGTAATTGTAATCGTTAAGAATAATAAACACTAGCAACGTGATGGTAATCGTTAAGAATAATAAACACTAACAACGTGATTGTAATCGTTAAGAATTAAAAACAATAGCAACGTAATTGTAATCGTTAAGAATAATAAACGCTAGCACTTCATGTCTTCCCCGCTACGCAGCAATTGTGCTTGTCCTGTTGTAATACCAACGCTCATTTCTCTCGTCCGTTTTCTTCAGTCCCGACTCGCCGGTTCTGTGGATTCGCATTGACCCGGAGATGTCTATTCTGAGGCAGGCAACGTTTGAGCAGCCAGACTATCAATGGCAGTATATGCTGCGATACGAACGGTGAGCACTCTACGATATATATATA